GACTCATGAGAGAGAAATTTGCTACCTTTAAGAAATATTGCTCCAGCATCTTATTAATGTATGGTCCGTTCTCCTGATCCTCTAGGAGTTTGTGGCAATCAAAGAACCATACATTATACAGCCATACACACTCATTTGATAGGTCTCCAATCTTTGCCAGTGAACTGCAACCTCTGGCCCTCAATACTTGTATTCCTGATGGAAGAGCATGCAAATTTTGAAGTCGGCAACACTGGTTCAACTCTAGGAGCTTAAGATTTGAAAGACTGGAGATTCCGGCAGGAAACTGGGTTAATTGAGAGTTCCCACTTAGATGTAATTCTTCCAAGGAGGAAAGTGCATGCAAATTTTGGGGGAAGTCTTTCTCTTTTATTCGTCTATAACTGAGATCCAGTTTTCTCAAGGAACACAAATTTGTCAAAATACCACAATTAATGGACTTGGGTGGCCTTGTTCCCAAGTGCCGCATGTAATAATCAGGTAATCCTAGTAAAAGCTCTTCTAAGTTTTCCATGCTTCCAAGCTCCTCTGGTAATTTTTCCAGTTTCTCGCAGTTGCGGAGTTGGAGGTGCTTTAGACCCTTTAACTCGCAAACAGAGTTTGGAATCTTCTTAAGTTTCTCACATCCTATCAGATTCAAGACTCTTAGACCAGACAAATATCTAATTGATGATGGCAGTTCCTCTACTCGAATACAATTATTAAGATATAACTCTGATAACTTAACCATAGATGGTGTGACTTCCGGAAATCTTTCAAGACTGAAGCAACCAGAGAAAATTAAAGTCTCTAAGGATTCCATCCCGATCGTAAATGGGAGACACTTGAGCTTCGTGCATCTGCTCATGTCCAAGTAAACAAGCCTTCTATGAAATCCAAGAGACGGATGAACCTCCACCAAATTATGACAATCCGATAAAATCAACCTCTCAATATTTGGGGCTGCTGAGACGTCTGGAAAACTTGTTAGGTGCCCCATATAACCGAGGTCAATAAACTTCATATTTGGTAGAACCTGGGGAGGAAAACATAAATGAATTGAACTTGCCAAAGATTTAATAAAAATTTAATTATCGCCCGCTAATCAGCCGGTGATATTTGGAGTTACCGACAGACTGCTATGTTGTCATAAAAAACACATTTCTGTCGGTGATTTTCATTGGTGATACCCTCTTGTCTAGTAGTACTCGCTACAAATTTACGACTTTAGTCTTTCTAAGAAACTGGTTTCATCTTCCAAATACCTTTGGTCCCTTCCATAGATGTTTGATCATGCCATCAAACATTTCAAGCCCAACAAGTTTACGCATATGTTCTACTGGCAGAGAAGAAAACGGGTAGTGATGCCAACAAAGCCACCGTAGCTTATGCGGGAGAAAGGTAGGCTCACGAGAAATGCATTGCCACCGCAAGTGATCAACAACAAGAAATCGAAGATTCTCCATCCTTCTAAAAACTTCATCACTAAAACCCAACCTCTCACGGTCGTAAGGTTCGTAATCATGAAGGCTGAATCTTTTGGCTGGCAGTACTATGGCTTCAATGTTTTTTAGTTTCTGCACATAGAACTAAACTATGATCAATCTGTTCTCATTCTTAAAAAATAGAAAAAAGGAGAAACTTTTATGTGGATAATGTAAGAGTGAGAGAGAGAGAGAGAGAGAGTGTGAGAGAGAGAGAGAGAGAGAGATTAGTCACCCTATTTCTTTCAAGGACATCACGGATTTCTTCTAGTTCCCATAGTCTGCTATTAGATAAACTCTGACGAACAATTTTCCAACCCATTTCTTGTATGAGRTCATGCATGCCTATCTTTTTATTTGAKACGGTGATAAGAGATTTTTGGATTAGAATACTAATYCCTATAATYGGATTAAAACCAAAGCTATCGAGTATTCTAGTCACACATTCTATATCTTTTCCCTTGAAGAAACATGCAATGTCTAGGAATATATTTTTCTCAGAATCATCTAGCCCGTCGAAACTCAACTTCAGTGAACCAAAAATGTCTTTATCCGGTGCTTTGACAAGTCTGTTTAATGCACTTTCCCACACGTTTGCTTGTCTTCCACGGAAGAATGATCCTAGAACTTTCAGGGCTAGAGGAAGATAGCCAGTGTACTGTATTGCACGATATGACAGCTGCTTGTACCTTCAGGAGGGCTATTATGCCGAAAAGCATGCCTACTGAAAAGCTTAACAGCTTGATCCATAAGTAAACAATTAGGCTTGTATATGGAATGTGCATCTGCTAACAAATGCTCGTCTCTAGTGGTTACAATGATTCTACTTCCTGGACCATACCATTCATCTGTTGCGGTCAGGAACTCCAATTGGTTAACATTATCCACATCATCTAGGACAAGAAGAACCTTTTTATTGGAAAAGCTTTTGCGCATCATGTCTGCTCCGTGATCTAGATCCTGAATTCTGACCCTATGATCATGCGGCACTAGAACATCTCTTATAATCTTGTCCTGCAGGACTTGTCTATCTCTCTTACTACAACTATTTTCTCTCACATCTTTAACAAAGCAACTACCCTCAAACTTATATGCAATTCTTCGGAACACAGCTTGGGCAATAGTTGTCTTACCAATTCCTCCCATTCCCCATATCCCTATCATGAGAACATCTTCTGTTGCTTCCATACACAATAATGAAATTAATGCATCCAAATGATACTCGATACCAATAAGTTCATTTTCATTACCATCAGGTTGTCTACCCTCCAAGATCACTTTAACAATCTTGTTGATAACTTCAGATTCACCACTGTACATTTTAAAAAGTAATATTAGCCACAAGTGAACCGATCCAAAACACGTAGATATGATGATTTCAATGAACCATATTTCTGGCTTGTTCTAGTCAATATTTTGTGCCGGAATTTAAAGTATAACTTATTAGGAAGGTTATATTCTTGTAAGTATTTTCAAAGTTAATTGGAATAATTGGATTACAAAGTACCAGTTAATAGTTAATACTTACACATTGACTGCTTTGGAGACATGCCAGCCAGATATCTTGGAAGCTGTAACTAAAGCTTCCCTCCACTTGTTCAGTTTTTCAATCTCTCCCCTAAACTTTTCTTCGTTTTGTTGGAAGGCTGTGTTGAACTTTCCTTTCTTGCCTCGCAGATCGGATGGATCCACGTGGTAGAACACGGGTAATACCTTTTGTCCCATCTGATCCCGGCATTCCATGATCTTGGCAAGTTCGTCCAAACACCACGAAGAGTTTGCATAGTTTTTGGAGAAAACAACCACCGCAAATCTTGATTTTTCAATGGCTTTCAGGAGTTCTGGTGAAATCAGTTCCCCTCTATGGAGCATCTCATCGTCTATGAATGTATCTATCCCTCTATGAATTAGAGCTGCATAAAGATGATCTACAAAATTCATTCGAGTGTCTTCACCTCTAAAGCTGAGGAAGACATCATGTTCCCATCTTCCAGTTGGTAGAGAACATGAAGGAGAGTTGGAAGAAGCCATTAAAGTACAGAATGAGAAAGGAACGGGCAGAGGGTCTTGAGAAAATTTGGAACTAATGGCTTTGATTCTTTAACAGCAAGTCCTGCTTTCATATCAAAAGCATGTGGCAAAAAGTGAAAACCTGCTTGCAATTGGATCCGATGTTGAATCCCATGATAAAAAGTGAAAAGTCTACTTGTATAGTCAACAATAAGATGCCTATGTACATTTAGACTTTCATTGTTATTTCTCAGTAGGAAATTTCCTATGAATTTCTCAGTAGGAAATTTCATTGTTGAATCCCATGATAAAACGTGAAAAGTCTACTTGTATAGTCAACAATCCGATGTTGAATCCCATGATAAAAGGGTTAGACCGTCAGGTTTTTCCTATGAATTTCTCAGTAGGAAATTTCTGACCGATTTGTGGTGGATTACCAATGGATTTTATCATACGGATGGATTTTATCATACGGTGAAAGTGTGAAACCCCTTTGTTTTGTACTGTTATTAATGTCTGAATATATATGTACCAGTAAGGCATTTCTAGCTGGCTGGCACACAAAGATTCCAAAAAGGAACCTGCAAATCAAGGCCGTCCCTCGGGAAGGCGACACGGGCGTACGCCCAGGGCCCAAAAATATCAGGGGCCCAAATTTTTAAAAAAATACAATAGTAGTCTAAAAGAATTTAATGAAATAAAGAAACCCAAAAAAGTTGTAACATATAATAAGAAGCAAAAAAAATTAGTACATAATAAGGGCCGAAAAATATATCAACTAATTATATTGGAGAAAAAAATAAAAAAAATTAATTGGTCATTCATTATATGCTATTGTTTATTGTCTCTCTAATTTTTTTATTTTCAACAAGGTCCAATAATATTGGTTATTGTTATCCCTATATGCTTGATTATTTTTATGCTTCAACAATTCAACATTAAGATCATGTGCTTGTTATTGCTATATATTTTTGTTGGATAYTTTTATCAATTTATGCTTCTATTGAATATTGCTATTTGGTTATATTGTTCTAATTGTTTTTGTTGACTATTGTTATCTATTTTTGCTTCTACATAAAATATTTTACTATTGTTTAACAAACAATCTATTATTCTTATAATTTATGACGTTTTTCATAGTTTTGTGATTTAATCAATAATTTTTTTTCTACTAGATGTATTTAGTAATGTCTCTTATATATGTCATGTTCCATAAACTTTTAATCTTAACATCTTATTTTAATTGAACAAAAAAAGAAGGAAAAATAAAATTTAAATATTTTCATCAATTGTTTGACTTATATATGTCATGTTCCATAAACTTTTAATTTAAATATTTTCATCAATTGTTTGACTTAACATCAATTGTTCCATAAACTCAAACAATCATTTGTTGAGCTTGCATATTATATGTTTAATTCATTATTTATTCTTATTATATCTCAATGAATCATCTTTTCTTTCATATATTCTTATTGATCCTCATTTGTGTACTTGTGTAGAAAATCTTGATAATTTTATTTATTATTGATCTCTCATTGACCCTCACGATTACTTCATTCACACGAATTCTCTTTTTGTATCAAAATAACACATATTTCTTGTTATGAACTAAAAAATTCGTACTTTTTATAAAAAATTATCAATCATAGTTTTTATACTTTTGGTTTCAAATTACCTAATAAGAAGTACGTAAATTTAAGTAACCACAAGGGGTGGTGCCTGGTTTGTTTGAGCTTGGCTCCAAATGTCAAAAGTGCTTAGAGGTCCCAGGTTCAAATCCAAGAAGAAACAAAAATCCCCTTGTAGCCACGAAGGTTCAAATGTGGTGACTCTGGGCTACCTGCAACCCTGGGATTAGTCGGAGTTGGATATTCAGGTTAATCAAAAAAAAAAATTAAGTACTCTTATATATATAATAAGATAAATAAGATTTCTTTCCTCAGTTTTATACTAATGAAAGACATTTATTGAATTTTTTTTCGTACTTACCGAGAGTCACTACAAGAAAAGTGAGCTTTGACGATGCATCTTTTAGCGATGACATGTTTCCACCATGAGTTATAACGACGACATATTGGTATATACTATTTCTGATGATAAATGGACTTTTAACGAAGACAAAAATCATTGCTACAATTCTTGTTTCTTGCAGTGGGTCTTGTTTTTACGTTCGCTCTGGGCCCATAAAATGTCAGTAACGACCTGCCTGCAATGTGCATGTGGGGGGTGGGGTCAGACCTATCATCTCGTTTTCCATTCAGCCGACAGCCATTCAAGCACTCCCGTCCCTTTACCCTCAACCCACCAGTTGTATATTCATTCTTTATTTATCTTTTTCTTTTCTTCCCTTCTTCTACCCATCCCCACTTCCTGTATGAACTACACATATGATGTTCAACCATATTACATGAATTTTCTTTCCAGAACCCCCTGCATCCTTTATTCACAGGAAGTTCAATTTTTAACTAGATTAGGGGATGCTAATTTTGCCAATATAAAAAACTGCTTATACCGGTGCCAAACCGGTAATAAGCAGTTTTAATGCTACTTTACTTATGAAAATTAACTTATTATCGGTTTACCATTTTAACCCGATACCCTTTCATCGATATCCTATCTCCAAATACATCTTCTTCCAGAACCATAACAGATCGATATCTTCTCCAGAACCATCTTCACGAACAGATCGAGGATCATCTTCACGAACAGATCAATATCTTCACGAACAGATACATCATCATCGTCTACCCTTCTCATCGATTCTTCTCCCCCAGAAACATCATCGTCTACCCTAACCCACAACAGATGTGATTATACACAGCAGATCGATACCCTAACCCACAACAGATACGATTATACGGTTAAAGGCTTTCGATGGTGGTGGGTAGTTCTTCACATGGTGGTGGGTCATGGGCGGACCTAATGTGGTGGCATGGGTGGCACGTGCCACCGTATTATTTCGCCGCCCAAGGGTAAAAAATTTAGGTTTGTTAACAGTGCTATCGTATCGTTTTAGAAGGTGCTACCGTATTTTCTTGAAATCCAAATGGTGCAACTAAAACCCAAACAAAACAAAGCCCAAATAACCAAAACCATACTTTTTGTAATTATTTTTTGGTATATATTGACCGTTTTCAAAAGATGAAGACGCGTCGGGTACAAGTTTAAAAGTTGTTTATCGGTACTTAGGGTGTAAACGAACCGAACGAACATGAACGGAGGCTTGTTCATGTTCGTTCGTTTAACTTAACCGAACAAACGAAGGAACAGGAACGGTAAACGAACGAAAATCTTTGTGTTCGTGTTCGTTCGTTTAGAAATAAGGTGTGTTTGTGTTCGTTTATGTTCGTTCGTAAACTTGCTAAATGAACGAACATAAACGAACGGGCTAAACGAACATAAATAAATATTATTTGAATTCAAAGTAAATAAATAAAAGATAATATATTAAACTTAATATATAAACGAACATAAACGAACGGTAAATGAACGAACGAGACTCTTGTTCATGTTCGTTCGTTTAACTAAACAAACAAAAAAATAGTTCATGTTCGTTCATTTATTAAATAAACGAACTTCCCGCCGAACGGTTCGTTGAACGTTCGGTTCGTTTACAGCCCTATCGGTACTGTAAAAACCATATTTTTTATAATTATTTTTAAATGTATATTATACTATATTAATTATATGGTGTCATCGTTTGAAAAAAAAATTGGGTCTGTCCCTGAGGCGGGTAGTGATTGAATAATTGATAGTGGATGATAACCTCATGGATTTTGGTGGGTGGAGATAACCTGTGGGTGGTGATATTATTATGGATTTTGGTTTTTGATTTTGACATTTGAATATTTGGGAAGGATTTGATTTTGATTTGTTTATGCATTTCAAACTGGGCAATATACCTGATTACACTTTCACCAAAAAAAAGACCTTTTGATGCTCTGATCTTCAGTAAGGAAGCTTGTAGTTATGCTCTCTGGTAGTCATCATTTGGCATTGCCGTTACCTTAATAAAGCTTTCATTCTAGTAGAAAGAAAAAACAGATTATTCTTATTAATATAAATTATTAATTTTATTGATATAAATTTTTGTTATAAATATTATTATAAATGATAAAAAATAAATTTTTCTATGTTAAAAAATCAAATAAGTTAATAAGCAATCCAAACACTCCTATAAGTCAATAATATAGAAGACTGTCGTTTTTGGTCATTTTACAGATATAAGCAAAATTTGCCAAACACTAAAAAACAACTTATCAGTTTATTGCAGTTTGGTACCGCTATAAGCTAATCCAAACACTTTTAACAAAACTCCGGTTTAATACCACATAAGTTAATAAGCACTTTCACAAAAAGCATAAGTTGTTTTAAATAAGCAATCCCAACAAGGATACCAACGAATTAACGATCCCCATTAATTGAAGTGCCTCGCGAACCCGTTAGCATTCTAAAGAGCACAATCTAAAAACCAAGTACAAGTATTGTAATGTTGTTTTCGGGAGGGCAAACTAATGAAAAAGACATTACTTAATTACCAATTTACATTAACTTACAGATGAATAAGGCAAAGACCAAGAATCTTACGCGTAAGAGCGAGGCCAGGATCGAGAGTCTTGTTAGTAAGTAATGGCAACAACTCTTACCACGATTAGTACTTACCGGATAAATTGTTGCATATGATACCGTCTTTGTTGACTAAAATCTTACCTGGTAAGTAAACTATAGTGTTAAATTTTACGGGTAAGCATTGACCCGATAAAATTTTAATTAACGCAGTTGGCAAAAAGGCGAAACAACTTTGCCCAAATACAAGACAAGTTTCGGTTTGATCCCTAGCCCTCCTCTAGCCTTAATGTTGAGTGTACCAAAAAATACCCAATCACACTGGTGCCCTTGAAGGCGGGTTCCGTATGGGTATGGGCCGGTTAGGGTTGCTGGTAATCAAACTTTTGCCCAAATATGTCACGTGTGTGTATATATATAGACTTGGGATCACGTGAGACCAGTCTGTTTTCGTGGGACCCGAATGACAATTTTTTTCTACTTGAAACTTCATAGCAAAACGCTGTGAAGGGTAACCTTCACAGTGTTTTTGCTATTAAGGTTTGGCCTTTTTTTTATCTCCACAACTTTTGCTGTGAAGTTTCAAATATAAAAAAATGGTCTCACGAAAACAGACTGCTCTCATATGAACTCATATATATATATATATATATATATATATATATATATATATAGGGGAGCGATCAAATGAAAACCACTCAATTTGTAAAAACCGTAAAAACCTCATCCCACCAATCATAATATTTCATTTTGTTCATTTTTTTGTAATTATAAGAGACTGATTAATCATTTTTATTGTGGAGGATATTAATCATGAATATTATCATCTTCATTATTTTAATTTTAGAGAAATACTTGAAACAATTTCATTAAAATTTCATTAAGTAGTATATGAAACAATTTCATAACCATATATGAAACAACTTCATCAAAAAAAGTATTATATGAAACAATTTCATGAAAAAATTTCATAAGATTACGACGGATGAGAGTAGTTTTTACGGTTTTTACAAATTGGAGTGGTTTTCATTTGATCGCTCCTCTATATATATATATATTTGTTTTCCACCTTGGATGATTGATGGGTCTAATGAAGCCTACACTTTGGGGACACAGTTAACAGATCTTCATGTGGCAATTCCATGTGCCCTAAAATAAGGTAAAAATCATGTGCTCTATTCTTATTATCCTAATCAAATGGCTAACATTAGAGGTGATCATTTGCGGGCCTCGCTGATATACAAAATATGGTTGAAACAACACTTTAATTTTGTATATGGTATGTAGCCACAAAAATAAAGGCAACCATGGCTACTTGGCTAGGCTGTGTTCGCAAAATTGTAGCCTATGTACATTTTGGACAAGCGTACCCGACCTTCCGATGGTGGAACCAGGTAAATCTGTGAGTTGTTTATTTGTGCTTTTCTTTGAGTTTTTATTGCTTACTTTTGTTATTCATCTTGATTGCTCGATCCAAGATTGTTCTTCATCAACCTAAACGTCACACATTTATCGTTGCTAGCTCGTGCTCAAAGATTGTAACTTGATCGTTTGTGATCGTGTGACTCAAACCCAACAGCTTGCACATGGTTTTTTTCTTTAATAATCTAAAAATCTCTAGAAGTGAAAGCATCATAACTTGGGTGCCGTCGATCTCTTATATAAATATGTAAACGAGAATCTGGGTTGTTTTTGAACAGTGAATTTTCACTATCCAACAAGGAGATTATCTGGTCATGAATCATCTCCGAATCCCTATATCTAACACTACGTAAAAGGCAAGTGTGATCAAGAAATGGAATTCAAGGTGAATAAATTGAACATCAGAAAATGAGTCCTTGCATTTGGTGAGGCCTCTACATCATCTGTGTATAGATGACAGGTCTGTTATACACGTCCCGTTTATGTAATGCTCTAGTTCTTAGAGACATCTCTGAATCCTGATCAGACTTTTCTTTATACACATACGTATTGGCAGAGACCTTTCCCTTATACTCGCTCTCCATGATAATCGTCGCCATCAATTTGCATCAAGTTTCCAAAGTCAGAGATACAAGTATTRAGTTGTTGAATCAATTCCACATCTTCTTTGTAGACTATGTTTGCCCCACAATTTACAGCTTTACTACCATCTGTTCTCGTTACAGTCATGACAAGATTACCTTCGATATTAGACCAATCTTGAGGTTGGAAATCATGATACATTTGCTGAAAGAAACYGAATGGTATATACGTAACCCACAGGTTGCAGTCATCATCTGCTGAAGATGCAATATCAACCTCCAACTTAGGAATGACCTTTTCGTCATTTACAATTCTGAAGATGATTCTAGGATCACCATATTTCCATTCCCCGTCAAACACGCCACATATTGCAAATCCCATGACTTGGGTATGGAGCTTGGGAAGTAGCCTTAATGCAACATTGCACCCATGCTGTTGTTCTTTGAACCAACATAGAATTTTACTTCCAGGAACAGAAATACTTAACCGATGACTCACAGAAGCACATTTCTGTACTCTAACAGAAAACATCATTGGTTAAGTTATTGATTAATGAAATAAATTAAGAGATGAGACATGAGAGAGAAATTGGCCACCTTAAGGAAAGATTGCTGCAACATCTTATCAATGTATCGTTCACTCTCTTGATCCTCCAGGAGTTTGTGGCAATCAATGAACCATGCCTTATACAGCCACTCATACTCTTGTGATATATCTCCAATCTTTTCCAGGGAACTGCAGCCTCTGGCCCTCAATACTTGTAGTTGTGACGGGAGAGCATGCAAATTTTGAAGTCGGCAACAGTTGTTCAACTCTAGGAGTTTAAGTCGAGAAAGACAGGAGATGCCCGCAGGTAACTTGGTTAATTGAGTGTTGCCACTTAGATGTAATTCTTCCAAGGAGGAAAATGCTTGAAAATCTTGGGGGAAGTCTTCCTCTTCAATTGTTCTCCAACTGAGATCTAATTTTCTCAAGGAACACAAACTTGTCAAATTACGGCAACTCTTCAGTCTTCCAAAGTTCCACATGTCAGAGAAACCTAGCGAAAGCTCTTCCAACTTTTCCATTCCAAGCTTCTCCGGTAATTGTTGCAGTTCGTAGCAGTTCTGGAGATGAAGGATCTTGAGATTCTTTAGCTTGCAAATGGAGTTTGGAATATTCTTCAGATTCTGAAAAACTTATCAGGGTAAGACTCTTGGTCCTTGTCTTGCTCTTACCTGGTAAGATTCTTGGTTCTTACCATATTCATCCGATAATATAATGTGATTTGATAAGCCCTTACCCGGATAAGTGTTTGGTAAACGACCCCTAAGTCTGTCTTAAAAAGAAACATAAATATACTTTTGTTTGAAATAGAAATATAAATATATTTTAATCAGTAAGTCCTCTTTTTAGCAAGAAATAGACAGTTACTAAGGTTCAAACAAATTTTATAAAATTAGATAAAAGAGAAAGGACAAACCTGTGGAACTTCGAACCTCGCACAACAACCTCCTAATCGTAAATCATTTTGCATGTTTATTCCTCTTTCTCACAAGGAATGGAAAAATTTCGAGTCTACGACACATCTCGAAGCATTCTTCGGCTACCTCACAAGAATATGTAAATCTTTTTGCATCTTTTCCCCTGAGAAAACACAATCAAATATCAATTACTATAAGACCATTGTTGGGTGTCTGGCTTGGCTTTTGTGTCTTATGGCTGATGGTATTGGGATGATTCTAAAGTTGCGTTTGATTGGAACAAAAAACATGACCGAGGGTCTTTTCGATTCCTATTTTATTACCAACTGGAAACTGGTGATATTACATTTTAGCTCATGAAGATCTCTATGTTTTTGTTAGTCCATCAAACCTGTGTAGGATATTGCAAATTTATTTTTTAATTTATAATATAGTGCCGACGTGCTTTCAAAGAATGTGGTGGAATTTAAGTTTATTTCAGAATCTTATGTCCAATACTGTACATAGAATCCGGTATTAGATACTGGCATCTTTCTGCAGCCTTAAGAAGGAAAGAATAATAATCTGGAGGTAAAATTCGCATAACCGTCTCAAAACAAAGCGAAGGGTCATTTAACTTCTGTTGCTACACTACCACATTATTGAGTCCTATTGGAACTCCTAAACTTATGTCGATATACTTCTTGAATTTATTTGGGTGCATTTGTTTGAAGTGGCATAACTGGTTTAGATAGTAATGACCCTATCCCTATGATGCTACAATGGATTTTCAATATCAAATCTAATTCAATTTCAGACTAAAATTGGTGATATAAGATGGGGCTTATCGGGTCTTAAACTGTGCTCTGTTACAAAAAGGCGTTGGCTTTATAGTCATTGGGAAGATTGGATTTGGAACTCAAAAATGAACTCAAAAACGAAACAAATACTTAGAACTCAAAAATGAAACAGGAGCAAAAAGTAACACATCCCATTTATTTAACCTCTTTATTACTCAAAGCCTGTGGAAAGTTTGGAGTGGCATAACTGGTTTAGACAGTAATGGAACTGTTAACCAGTTTAATATGATTCAAAAACCTGTGGGATATTGGATACTGGTCTAGTCATATAATGAACCATCACTATGGCAGCCAACCATGTATTCCCATGTTGCCAAAGTGGATTCTTAATTTCTTGCATAATCCCCTATGGAATACAATTGGTATTATTAGGAGGGGACTTGATAGACTCAATTTGGACTGGTTCTACTGTGAATCAACATTCTGGCAGCCAACCATCTATTCCTGTGCTGCCACAATGGATTTTTCAATATCAAATCTAATTCAATTTCAGACTAAAATTGGTGATATAAGATGGGGCTTATCGGGTCTTAAACTGTGGACAGTTGGCAAGAATTGAAACCCAATTGATCAATGATGCAAGAAGAGAGGAAACAATATTACCTGGAGAGTGATGGATTGAGGAATTGATGTCGAATTGGTACACAGTAATGAACTCGGATGGGTTACACAGTAATGAGTTGGGCCAAGCTAATACAGTAAACAGACAAAAGGTTAATAAGTGTCATTGGTTTAGATAAAACAAACAACAAAGAGGAAACATATCTATAAACTATAATCCATACAATTATGAACTGCACAAACTGCACTCGTTGTCCACATTATAAAGATTAGATTATATAAAGAATGCGATTGAGATAGATATAGCAACCAATGCAAGCCAAATAACAGAGATAGATATAGCAACCAATGCAAGCCAAAAACCTTGTCATTTGCCTCACATAAAACATCCGTCTTGAGAAAATTACTTCATTTATTTGATTCTACTGTACTATCCACTGTGTAGTAAGTTCACAATTTTTACCAACAGTAACATTGTAGTTGGAACCTGGGGGTCCATATAAGTTGATTAATATGTCACTTAATCAACAGATGTGTATAGTTTAGTTTGAAGAACCATTAATATTGATTCTTAGTAAACAAAAGAGGGAGATTGGCAATCTATTGCAGCAGGTCTGCTCTTCACAAATCCATGGTTTGGGCTAGAAGCCAAGTAACTAAACTTGTGAGAGTAGGAGGGTGAGCTGCCAAACCTTATTGATGTTTATGCCAACTTTCTCAAACACATGCTTTATGGGACTCTGTTTATTTACAATTCTTTAACAAGCGGTGCCTTTTGACTTCCAGAAAATTTTGTAGAGAGCAAAAATTTAGAACTCAAAAACTATGAAATAAGCAAACCTAGTAGTGTTTGTATCTAGTGTCACTTTTATTTCTTAACCTTCTACTGGATACAAACACTACTGTTGGTTCCTTAGTTACTATTTTGGGACTGTTTTGATACAAACACTGCTGTATCGGGTCTTAAATTGTGGTCTGTTACAAAAAGCAGATGGCTTTATAGTGAATGGGAAGATTTGATTTGGAACTCAAAAATGAACTCAAAAACGAAACAAAAACTTAGAACTCAAAAAACAAAAAACTCAAAACTCAAACACAGGTGGGAACAGGGGAAACACCTTTGAAGCATTTTCTCAAACACTGGCGGTAACATGGGAAAACATGAAATCTAAAAGAAAAAGGTAACTAATTGATGGAAATCAATCCTCCAGGGGAACAACAACTACAGGTGAATCGATGAAAATCCAATACAATTAGAAAAAAAGAAAAAGCAATACAATTACCTGGAAATGGAAATCGATGAGAAGAACAGGAGAAACACCTTTGAGTGTGGAACAATCATATGTATCAGCTGGATCGAGTGGAAGAGGAGCGGTAGGAGGAGAGGAGCGATCGTTTATAAACCTGAATCATTGCCTTGGGAGACTAAATCGTCATCTCTGTAGGAGGAGAGCCAGAGAAGCATCGGAAATTGGATGAGGGTGGAGCGCTGCTCCTTGGACAGAGAGATAGAGAGAGAGAGCGTTGTTATCAATGACAGAGTAGTACGAAATGCAAAAGATGTTGTTTTTAAGACTTTAAACTCTATGCATTAGAAGGTATCAGATGTTGTTTTTAAGACTTTTGTTAAATCTCATCGACAAGGTAGTATAGATATATATTATGTTAAAGATTAGAAGATGAGTCCTTATATACAAAATTGCAATACCTGATCCACATATTAGCAATTAAATCCTCTTCATCAAAGAGTGATCAAGCGAGGATACACGAATGTAGGCTTGCTATAGAGGAGGCTCCCAGTAATGGATCAAGCTGATCATTTCATTAGCTACATCCACTGGGGATTCTGTTCTCCAAGATTTACAAGAAGAAATGACATAATTATTGTTTTTGTGTAAAATCACAGAAGTAAATATACCATGTCGTTGAAGAATTAAAGAGAGAGAAGCCATACCGCTTGTCCCACTGCAATTTGTAGAGATCAAACATCTGTTATACACTTCACGTCTTTTTGATGTTCTACTTCCTAGACGCCTCAGGTTTGAATCCTTCTCATCTGATTTTTCATCATACACGTATGTATTTGCAGGGACCTATACTTCATAACCTAGAGTTCCATCAAAATCGTCACCGTCAACATGCACCAAGTTCCCATAGTTAGAGATACAAGTGTTAAGTTGCTGAATCATTTCAACGTCTTTTCTGTATACTACATGTGCCCCACATCTTACAGATTTATTACCATTTGTTCTAGCTAGAGTCATGACAAGACTACCTTGGATATGAGACCAATCTTGAGGTTGTAAATCATGATACATTTGCTGAAAGAAACCAAATGGTATATAGGTAACCCAAATGTTACAGTTCTCAGTTGCTGCAGATTCAATATGATCAACCTCTGACTTAGGAACCACMTTCTTGTCGTTTACAATTCTGAAGATGATTCTAGGATAATCATATGTCCAGTTCCCATCAAACACGCCACATATTGCAAATCCAATGACTTGGGTATGCAGCATGGGAGGTAACCATAATGCAACAGTGCACCCATGTTGTTCTTCTTCAAACCAACTTGGAATCTTGCTTCCAGGAACACCGATACTTAACCGATGACCTACAGCAGCACATCTCTGTAGTCAACAGAAAGCATCATTAATGTATGCTATAAGATGAATAT